ATGACCTCGAAGAAACAAAGTCCAAGTAGGTCCTTACATGTCATTGTCAAACATGGCTGACTGCTAACCAGAAATCCAGAATGGATAACCCTCGTGAGATCAATTTAAGCAGACATGAGACACCCAGATGGTATAATAGGTCCAGATCAATTGTGGTGCGATATGTTAAGATGAAACTACTGCAAACCAATCACAGACTGATTGGGATCCAGAAAAGCCCCTCGGAGGTAAATGCAAATTGCTGTGTACGTCCTTAACCACCGAGTCATGCATTGGAGAAAAACAGTGTTTTAGTTGAAGAACTCGGTGCGAACCATGGAACCGGAAAAGAAGTAATGGGATTTTGTCTAAATTAGTAAAGGAAAGAAATTTAACTTCGAAGGACCGACGCGTGAGGCTACAACTGTTATCATATCCAAGATTGATACTTTAGTAAGCCGATTAGCAATAGAAACGCCTGATCGTACGGGAGGCCTTATCAAGCAACGGACAACCGAACTCGCAATATATATATACAAAGGCATGGTGCCAACGCAACGACAATGATAAAATGTAGTAAATGGTACAGACTGATGAAAAGAAAGTGAGGAAACATAGGACAAGGAGAACAAATTGATGAATGAACATGTGGTGCGAGATTTTTATGAAAATATTCATACTTCTGAGTGGAATTTTATGCCACCAATGGTCACCTTGAAGCCATTTGCCAGTATCAAAATGCCGCATTGCAAAACTCATTTGAAAAAATGTTGGGTATGATGTCGCGGCATCAAAACAATGTGGTCCGTGTGTAGCTCAGATTTGAACGCAACGGAAAACCTTCGGGCTATTGTACCAAAAGGTGTAGTGACACTCAAGAATTTTTACCCCAAAACACGAATAAGATGCATCGTCAATAAAAGTAGACGGATATTGACACGGACATGATTATAAATCTTACAAAAAGTGCGTCGAGAAGTTGTGTACACGTTTCCAGAAGGAATGGCGAATGCACGCGGTATTTAAATGGATTCAGTGAACAAAATCCATGGAAGGGAGGATTACTTGAGTCGCGGTGAAAATTGTCTCTAAAATAGTTTCATTAAAGTTCAGTTCCTGAAATTTCCTGTTTCGGCTCTTTATTCGACATTCATCAAGATTATTGAAAAATGGTGATGTTCGTGTATGTGGAACCGAAAATAATCTAAAACTGTTGTCACGGATCTTATCTAGAATACAGAGAGAGGAGTCCCGCAATTTAAAGCTGTAAAAACGTTGTCGAACATAATTACTGCTGCGTAATGTGCAGGCGAATGAGTTTGTTTCACAATAATTGAAATAACTAGGGCAATAAAGTGAAACACTTGGTGAAAGCAGTAAACGATCATCGAATGTTCCAAACCAATCGAAAACGGAAAACCAAGACCGCGTTTATTACGCTCCAAAATATATGAAAAACGACATACCTGAACGTCGGCTGTTCCAATCAATTCAAGAAACGCTTGTGGTAAAGACTGGCAAATACACTGCAATAACTGAAGATAACAGCGGCGTAGAAGNAAAGTGGTTCTGCCAATGCATCCGAAATGACGGCGAATAAACCAGGGAGACAAGTAGTAAGAAAAGTGACGCTCCGATTCTGCAAAAAGTCGACAGAGAACGTTTAATCAGGGGCATGTGGTACGGCGGTGATTGTTAGCACTGCTTCTATGAGTGCAGTTTATTTCAATTTGAATATATGAGCGAGGAGAAACGAGTTCGGAACAGTACACAAAACAGCTTTGGATTTCGATCACATCTAGCGGCATACGGCACTAGCGAAAGTTTACTTTTTTCTTTCAGAGAATACCGATGGAAAAGATGAAAACTACTCGGTTACGACAATATAGATCCAGCAAAAGTATGTAACGTAGGAAAACACATGACAGTTGAAAACACTGTTACCTTGTACCGTAGAATCACTTGTGTGATCAAGGGGATCACATCCCGGATTTCGTGCCACCGTTGTTCTGCATCCGCTACGTTTGGTAGCACGCCTCCATTTGCCCAACCGTTAAGACGGTGGTGAACTTGCAAGGGCCGTACTAATTGTGGTACTGCTTGTATCAGTGCGGCAAGTAGGATTTCGGAAACGTGGTTGGAGTCGCTTGGTTGCTCTGTCGGTGACGATGGTCCCAAACAAGCGACCATCCGATGAAGGAAAGCCCGCACGCCGGCACAGGCGGCCGCTCGACCAGGGGCCCAAGCTTCTGATGGGAACCGGGTCAATCCGGTTAACATTATTTGCAAAGCTTCGCATAACACAGCTTGACAAGTAGGAGTCAAGACCGACTTAGGTTGCGAGAACACACGGCTGGTACGACTGAAATGAATTGAGATAAATAAAAATTCAAATAGACGAACAGTGATAGAAGTTCAAGTAAGCAAACCCACACGTGGAAACGCAAAATAAATCTATTTGGGAGCTAGTGGATCATCTGCTTAGTTGCAGTTCAAGACACGGCTCGGCATCTCCCATTATGATAACGATTCTGTCTTACAAAAAGAACAATGAGACATTGCAAACAAGGCCTGCGCGTTACTTCTGGGTAAAACACAGCAGCATCCTAGGGAGAACTGAACGGCAGATAAGCGTCCAATCAACCCCACAACGAGGAGACTACACCTAGACGATACACAAGATGGCTCTTGTCAACCTAGGAAATCATCCCCGGAAGGTGAAAGAATAGAGATCTGACGAAGTCGTCTCCTGGTCCTCCGAAATCGGGGATCGATTCGAAAAAGCGTTTCAATCGGTAAAAATGGGAGAGTAAACGAACAAGCAAATGGGCCTCCACTTCGCTTCATCCGCTGCTCTGCAGTTAGGTTTGTCTCACAAATGAAGTCTCTGGTTACGAACTCTAATTGTTCACCTGCTTTGTGGCTGGACACCCAGGCAGTATCCATCCATCAAACCTAATGCATACACACAGCAAAATTAATTCTATCCTCGACGAACAGCAACGTGGCGCTCCAGTTCTACTGGTACGCTAACTCATATCGAGCACGTAGCATTATGCTACCGTTTGCGTGGCTCAGTGCAAAATTGCATATGCCATTGGATCACCTGTATTGAGTCTGGCCACGCTTTATTTTTGAGGCAGTTCACTCTACAACTCACTGGTGGCATCAAAGCCAACAAACTCGTATAGCTCACCATCGACTATTTGTTCCAGCAGTTCGTGCACCTCATCAGTCTGAGCTAGCGCGTGAGCCAAGGCGCATTAACCTGTGGATGTAGATGAGCAGCGGGATCAGATTGGGTGACCAGTGCATTCCGCAGCGAACGTTGCTTGTAGGTCTGAGCCTCAAGCCCGTCGAAGAAACTGGATATCCCAGGAGTCAGTAGCACTGATAGAGAGAAAAAAACCACAAGTCCCGACCTGCCAGAATCAGAAGAGTTAGATGCCACCTACAACGTCAGCTTACGAAGAGCGCAAAGAAAGACCGTGAAAACTGGTAGGCAACAATACCTAGTGAAATGGAAGTAGTAGCTGCATCAGGGAATAGTCGAAGACTGTTCCGACTGATACGCAATACGGGAGGTCGGTGAACTAGGTACTGAAACAGCCTGCGATGAGATGGGACAAGCTATCCACAATTGATCGCTGGGCGCAACACTTGAGCGAACAGTTTAGCTGGCCTAGTGTTAACCAAGTTGCTTCATCTGCAACTGAAGCTCCGTGGGCAGTGTCATGCGATCCTCCAGCAGAAATAGAAGTTCAGTCTTGCATTCAAGCTCTGAAGCAAGGGAAAGCAGCAGGACAGAATGAACTCCCTCCCACTCTTTTCAAGATGAGGAGTGACAACCTCGTAAGCTGTATTACTACCTTACCGCGCAAGATTTGGACGCAAGAGCGCATTTCTTCATTTTGGGGCGAGTCACTGATCGTTCCCATTTTCAAGAAAGGATCTCGCAACAATTCCGAAAACCACCGCGGGATCAGTTTGATTCCGATCGGTCATACTTCGACGTCTAACTCCTTTTAGAGAAATCAGCATCCGTGAACAGCAACCGGGATTCCGGCCTGGTCGTGGATGCATTAATCAGATTTTTACGTTGCGCCAGATTCTTGAGCTGCGTCACATTCACCGCCGACCAACGATCGCAGTGTTCCTTGACCTGAAGGGAGCCTTTGACTCAGTTGACCGCGAAGCTCTGATGGACTCCCTTCTTCGAAAAGGAATGCCCCAGAAGTACGTTAACTTACTGAGGTCATTGTAATCGCATATCTCTACGATGAAATAAGTAGGCCATTCATCACCAGCAGCGGCATTCGTCAAGGGTGTCCTCTCTCGCCACTCCTGTTCAGTTTCGTCGTAGACGAAGTACTGGAAAACGTACTTACTGGTCTCTATAGCGTAGGTATTGAATGGGCAGCTGGAGAAAAGCTGTGCGATTTAGAATACGCCGATGACGTCTGTCTGTTCGAATGTATGGAGGACGCGCAAAGCACACTGGATAGACTGACAAGTGCAATTGCCACACTCGGTATGTGTTTTGCGCCTTCAAGGTGCAAAGTGATGCTGCAGGATTGGGTTTCCCCTACTCCCGCTCTTAAACTAAATGGTCAGGAATTAGTCATGGTGGATTGTTTTTTCTACTTAGGTAGCTACGCGACCAATGACTGTAGCGCAGCAAAGAAGATAACCGCCCGCATTTCCAAGGCTCGAGCAGCATATGCAGGACTGAAACACCTTTGGCATAGATGCGACGTTTCACTGAATTTGAAACGTCGTGTATATTGCGCAAGCGTTCGTTCAGTTCTGCTTTATGGTTGTGAGACCTTGAATTTGCGAGTAGAAGATATCCATTGACTAGAGGCATTTGATTATCGGTGTTTACGCAATTTAGCTCATGTGGGATGGAGCGAACAGGTTAGTAGCGTGGAGGTAAGCCGTCGTGTTTTTGGGAGTCTATCGGGTATAAACCTGCTAACACACCGCATTCAGATTAGCAGACTTCGCTGGCAAGGGTACTTATTGCGTATGCCCAGCCATCGTCTGCCGCACCGCGCTTTATTTGCTGTAGCCGCCCCGGGTTGGAGGAAGCCACGTGGAGGTCAACAGATGACGTAGAGACGAGGCATGAAGAAATGCACAGAGCTAATAGGTGGAGTAGGTGTCTCGCACCTTCCAGGTTGGGGTCCGAAAGGCTTCACAACCGGTTGGTTGGAGACATTGAAGGATATGGCAGCGAACCGACAGCAGTGGTGTTCCTGTTGTCATTTGTTATCAGGCCAGAACGCTTGAAACGGTATGTGTGCATAGTTCGATTGTGCACTCTGTGTTGACCACAGTGGGTCACCTTCTCCCTCCCTCAAAGTAGGTCCAACCCCCCCCCCCCCCTGTCCACCTTAAATTTTACCACTAATCTTGTATGCATTGCGAGTTTGGCCGCGATCAGTGAAGTTCGCTTCACTGTATTTCGCTGTACGATGATGATGATTCCTAAAACCGGATGACGCAACCGGATAAAAAACGGTATCCGCCTCAATCGTGATTGCCTCACCACTGCTCATAATTGATCATGATGAAATGAGACGCACTTCGCCTAAGTAAATAAGGGTTGAGGAATTTGGCTTGATAAGTACGCTTTTCTTTTGCAAAAAACGGGACTGCACTGGATGGGCGTAATCGTTGCTCGGTCCGAGGGTTATCCAATCTCTTTGGTCAACTTGTTAGTTCTGTCAATGCGGACAATTATCCGACTAGTGGAGACGACTTGGGTTAATTTGTAGATGCCATCATCCTGGCTCGTTTCCGGCTACTGATTTCGTCGACGAAAATCCCATGGGTGGACTGACTGGTAGATCTCTAGACGGTGCGTATGAAGGGAATGGCGGGTACCATCTCCGGTCCCAGTTCCAGAATCGCGGTATAAATGATCATTCGTAACGAACGAAACACAATGGTAGAGTATCATGATATGTTCTAAGTTGGATCTTTTTTCCGTGGTTTGAGTACCAAGCTGTAGGGTCGTTATTGCTGCTTCTGAAAAACGAATTCGTGGAAACCAATCGAATTAGGAAGTTAACACTAAATATTAGCTGTCTTCACATTAAATACGGAGATCGGCTCACTTAGAACTAGATAAGGATAAGCCCCCGATAGTCCCATGTGCGTTAGTATCAAGCCGTGAGCAGTACGCCGGATTGGGAGATAGGGCTGACAGCTTTTGCCATTCACTGATGAATGATCTCATCGGTAACACTGGTGCGCGAACCGCAGTGACTAAGAAAATAAATAAATACTAAACAAGATAATGAATAAGTATGTGGCGACGCTGGTCTTGCTATGGCGTGCTCCAGAGATTCATTGTCTTATTTATTGTCTACTTAGTGTCTTGTCCAGGTCATGAAATAGTTGATTTTGTTTGGGTTAATAGTATGTATATATCACACAAAATCTATCCACACCAGTCGTAATGATTCACATGTGCACGACTGAAAAAGAAATTCAAGAATTATCATTATTATGTTTCACACCTTTCTGAGGACACACTGTGTGCCAGGCAAATTATGGTACAATAATCTTTATAAAAAAGAAGTGTTCCATGATTGGCCCGGCTACTACTGATAGAAAGCCATAAAGAACTACTATTACTACACGTAAGATATGGTAAGTGCAAGAAAAATTAGAGCTAAATGATGAACTTCACTGATGGCTGTCAAACGAAGGACAGAATTATTGAAATGCATACGAAGAAACGAACGCCTATGGAAACGTCCCAGAAATGCGAAAAACGAAGGGTAAACTAATGGTGAAAGACCCTTAAGCATTAGCTAGCGCGAAGCTGACGAAATTCACTAGATAGACAGGTGGTCACGTGTCGGAGAGAAGAATAGAAAGGGAAACGTTAGACCACATTCACCAGACACACCAAAGCAAGGCACATACGGGAACGTCACGAATAACCAATCCGGGCCAGTGAAAATAAAAATGATGACGAAATTAGCGCGTGTTAAGTGAATGAATCAATCACAAGTATGAATAGGTATTTATAAAGATACATGAGCACCAAAAAAATTTCGTTCTTCAGACCTGCAAGTAATACGTGCTCAAAATTTCGTGTGAATCGAACAAAAGTTCACTACTCACGTGATCAAATCTGCCGCTTGCTTAGTCAGTCGACCTCTGGCCTCCGCAGTTTTGGGGTCTGATTCGGAAACGTACAACTCAACCAACTGACCATATTGCGCGAACACCGGAGCCAGAAGCATGCGAAACAGATGACCTGCACGGTCTTCAACAGTACCCACTTCATTAGTTGTTACCACAGGTGTTGATACAGTACCACCCGCAGCTATCAACTGGGCTGCTGCTTCATAGAGGAAGCTGGTCTCGGTGACACTCAGCAGCGGACCAGGTGGGTTGTCATGTTTCAACTGATCACCGACTTTGCAAGAACCACAATGAGGGATATTGATCGATGGATCCGGTTCACAAGGAAGTTGGAGTAAGTCAGCGAACTGAGCTAGTAGTTGTTCGGTATGAGGAACCAGCGTTTTACTGCAGTAACAGAATGGAGTTACCGATACATTAAAAATAATACATAAAAACAATAACAACTACATAGTAATAAAATGTGTTGTGGATATATTTTTGGTTATCATTAACTGAACCTTGTAAACTTGGTTCCAAGCATAATTGAGCATAAGCAGTTGAATACAGAAAATAATTGACCAAGGATTCAACTAGTAGCGGCAGGACATGATTGCATTTTGTTGAGAAATGTTTTTCAAAAAATCGATCAGCGATGGAAGTTCAGGTAGATTTACTCCACTGAAACTGTTACTCTCGAAAGAATAAGCGAGAGCTTGGTACAGGAGACGCTCGCAGCATCACTCCGTTTTTGTTTTGGCAGACTAGGCTTCGCACAATGATTCGTCGCACGCGACCGAGGATTCCACACGATCCCATTGGTGGGACCCATTTCTTTCATATCTGTTGAATCGGAGAGGGTTTCGTTTGCTTAGATGAAAGTAGCTGTCTTGCGTACCATACGCCATATCATCGATATTTTTAGACCTTGTTTATCTTCAACCTGGTTCAGCCGACTTTTCAAGCGACATGAGGTGTGAGCACTGAGAAATACCTTGGCTTTTTGATACCAAAAGTAGAAAACCGAAGAATGAAGTGGAACAGTTTAACGGACGGGGCAATCTACTAGCATACAAGTTATACTAATCAAGTACTCCAGACATCCTTTAGGATAGGTACGCATTTTTTGAGAAACTTCCGCTTGGGAAAATGATCTGAACGCGTAATTAGTGCTCAGGCAATGTCAATGAAAATTATTGCGCAGCAACATGAGGAAGTGTCCAGTGGTAACAATCATTAATGTAACGTGGAAAGCGAGGCACAATAAGGTTGCCAAAACTGGGAATTTGAAACAGATTATTCCAACCCCTATGTCTCTGGACTTAGAGCAATCCTGAAACCAGCAACGCCGTGAAAATCGGATGCCGAATGGCGTGACACATACTGAGTGATACGCGAGGATGAGGTTGGTTCAGGGGAACGCACGGTGATGATTGAAATTACATGCGCGTTTCGGAGAGAGCATGCAGCTTTTTGGCAACATTGAAAATACCCAAAAACTACATCCACGAAGCCCAATCAACAAATGACAGGGTATGTTTGACTTACCGATGTGATTTGATCAACGGTGTGATTAGGTAGGCACAGCGTACGCGAACTGATCGCCACGGACTGCGTAAACCTCGTTGGTCCAAGAAGGCCACCTAAGCAGTGTGAGAATTGAACGTTTTCATAAAATATTGAAGGTGAGAATGCATGAGTTAATCTCGGAATACGATCACAACAGAGGAAATAGAACAAACCAGCATCACGTGTTGTTTGTTTTCGGCCATTAAGAAGTCAGCAATCACCCGTTTGAACATTCCAATCGATTCCAACTGGCCACACAAGTATTCGTTGAATGTGCTAGACTCACCAACTCCTATCGATAAGGATTTTAGAACGTATAACAATAAAATGGTATGGGAGTATGGAAGCCTAAGATGCGGTGGTATCTAGAGAACGGTAATCGGATCCACTGCACAACATTAACGGGACGGTACTCTATACCTACCCTCGGTATTTTCCGGGGGAATTAAATCTTCATCTCTATACTACGCGGGGAAAACCGCACTCCAAAGCGAAAGGTTTGCACATAAATTACATAAAACGGAAGCAAGACATTTTTCTTTGTGTGACACTGTTTGCGAAGTCATAACGCTAAAAATTAGGAGATTTTGAGAACTGAATGTAAACCGGAGACAATATTCGTCAAACTAACCTATCAGTCGTTGGCGGTAAATATTTTGTTTCTTCTCAAGAAATCATATTCAGCGACTATTTCTGATCAAAACACAGTCGCTCGTTTTCCTACTGAAGAACAGTGAGATGAATTAAGAACAAAAGTTTTGTGCTCGTTCTTCAAACGTACGTTGAAAATCAGCGTGGTTATACACACGTACGGCCTCTATAAAACCAAAGGGATAAAGGCTAATCAGTGTGACGTTTGCTCACGGTCGCGAGTAGGCTATCCAGATTAGAAGACGTCAGTAACATACGGATTTGATGGTGATGTGTGCAGTCATGTTGGCGGGGTGCAAGCTGGACATCATTTGATCTGAAATGTTCATGATGAGGCAACCTGGGCAACCTGGCAGAATTCGGTCCACATGCAAATCGCGGAACGTTTTTCTTCTTATAAAGATTACTGTACCGTGGTTTGTTTGACACAGTCTGGCCTCAAACTAGTGTGAAATATAATAAATATATAATATAATGAGATCCGTGATGAGTCGAATCCTCTGTCAAACAAAATGTTGCACTGTTCAAGGGTCAAAGTAAAACCATCCTGCTCAGAAAAAGCTGCTTACGAACAGTCTGGTAATTCCTTAAAACTACGAACGATACGAGAAAACGAGCGAGGCTCTACGAATAGCACAACGCCAGCACGAGACTGTACCTTGACATAGTTTGATGACTTGCGTACTTCTATGATCCTGTAAGTTATACAGGATGGCTCCTCACAGCCACAGATCGAATAATCCCTAAAAGGCCAATGGATAGAGCCCAACAAAGCTTAGTCTCACAATGCCCACCGACTGGGCACCTCGTGGCCCTCTTTGACTATCCACAATGCAGCAACAAACCCGGGGGGAGCAGCTTACAGATAAAAAGAACCTTCTAGATGAACGCACGAGCGGGAAACCTGGGACTTTCGACGATCATCGACACACTTTGTACCCTATGGTCTGAGGTTCGAGCCTCGTCATCGTCATCGCAATCGCCACCGCCACCCGTCTTCGGTGGTAGGCAGCTTTGCTGATGTCGGGTTCGATACCACGCCTAACCTAGTGGGACTTTATATGGTTCGCCACTCGGCTCAGGCTGCCGGTTTTCATTAATGAATAGCAGATCCTCGTGACTATGGGGTCTGCTTCATCTGTTGTTCATCACACTAAAATATGTAATAAAAAATATGAAAAACGATGAGAGAAGTCATCGCACTGCTTTGGACAGATGCTGCCTTCCCAGACTAGGCAACTCCCAGCCAATTAGGTGCTGTCACACCCACGTTCCGCCGGTCTAATTAAATGCATGAGATAATAGGTTGATCCTGAACAGTAGACTATCAATCAACACACCAGTAAACAATACACCGAGTCTATATAAGCCCATACTTGGATTCCTCGGTCACGCTCACGCGCTGGATCTACACCCCACCACCGTCAGACTTTTGAGTCAGAGGCTTCGGTTAGAGTTACCGAAGAACCAATTCGTCGGTGTGGGCCACAACGAAATAAGCCGTATACTCAAACCTCATACCTCTATTTATAAAACCGTCTTTCAAATCCGTCTAGTTCATCATCTCACTCTCAACTCGTATTGGATACCTCCTGTATCTGCTACTCGTGGGATACAACTCAGCTTTCAACGAGCATGTAAACCAATCCGAAGTGACAGGGTTGATAGAACCCAAATCTCCTTTTAACACAGCTACATGCAATGACCGCATACTATCCAATCGGTCAACATACCGTTAGCTAGAACCCTCGGAATTTTCAATTTAGACGCAAACTGGCGCCAAAACACGCATCCAGAAACCCCATTCCAATCATCACCCTGCGTTCGCCGGAACCAGCTTTATCCTTAGAAATGAAGTCTGGTTAACAACTCCTGCTTGGTGGCTGGACACCCAGGCAGTATCCATCCATCAAACCTAATGCATACACACAGCAAAATT